TAGCACTGCCCCAGCGGAGAAACATGGGGATGGATGCCCAAAGACGAAGGCAGACCTAGCCCAAGTTATCAAGAATCATGGAGAATCGCCGTTTGCCCCGTCATCGTTATCAACTGACTCTATACGGGATGTCTCGCCCTTTGCTCCCTCGTCGTTATCTACTGTACGGAAGAGCTCTGATTCCGCACACAATCCAATGGTCGCATGCCAAGGCTCATCCTTCCCAAAAGTTGACAAGAGTGCGGACAACATCGAAGTGCTGAGTGCTTGGAAGACAATAAGGTCACATCCATCGTTTCAAGTATGTCGCGGTTATTCTCACATCATCGCGGCGACTAATCTGTATCTTAGGACGTTGATATTAATGACTTGTGTTCCCAGTTTGCCAGCAAAGCGCGTTGTGATGGTACGAAGGTAGTACTAGAACCTCAAGGTGTGCATACTATCATTGAGTCGTTGAAGTCCAAGGCGCTGTAAAGGCCAAACCGCTCATGGACCGCTACCTCGCACATATCGCGCGCTTTCGCCATCAGCATGAACGACGCACTTCGGACGAGCGACCACGTTGGAGTGGTATGCCACCAAACAACAAGCGGAGTGGAAAGGGATGGGTGGTCGTCGCGCTTCGTAGATTGGGACCACCAGCTTGGTTTTTGCCACAATCACCATATCACGGTTATTCGAATTTCTCTTGCTTTGGTTTGTTACACTACTCTTATTCAAAGTCTTTATCCAGATTGTATTTGTGCCTTGTTCCATACCTTATTTTCGAAGCTCTTGCTCGAACTGGTATTTCCCTGATTAACGAAGCAATGTGTACTAGGAGTGTATCTCTAGCTTTGCTTAATTGCTGCCCTATTGTGAAGTGTTCGGCCAAGGTGAGATCTAGTACATGTCTATGTCAAATCGCGGTGATGCAATTGGAGTTCAATCTTTCCATCTCTTAGTTTATGCCGGTCCAATACTACGCAACTGACACGCTGTCGCCGGTTTAGCGGTCATAATCGCCTTCTTTCGCCAAGGTGTTACCAAACCTGGCGCAGCCCAGTTCCCCGTTGTAGCCTTCTCAGTACCCAGACCGCAAGTTCAGATGCATGGGAGCGCGAGGGGTTCAACGGTCAGGTAATTGCCCACATGATGATCTTTCTCTGTGATGCTTCTAGCGGTTGAAATTCGAAAGTTCTACTGCGTTGCTTTCCCGCTTGCAGCAATACCTCCGCCAGGGTTCCTTGTCTCTCCTCGAAGCGACGAGCCATCCCTGAAGCAGAAGGTATCCTCCCCGTTCACCATGTCGTTATTGATGTGCACATTATATCCTCGCAACCCCGCATAGGCAGCCGTGGAAAAGAAGCAAGGAGTCGCGGGTATTGAATGTTCGCGAACTCTCTCTTCTTGGAGGACCTTGTACGTCAAGAACCCACCCGTGTTCCAATGACCTACGGAAAACACAGCCTATTGGCTGGCCGCCACGATCCTTCTCTTTGGGTGTCTCAATAGACTGATCATCAGTCGCGACTCGTCTAATTGCTCCGTGTACTTTTTTAACCCTTGAACCTGTTATGTTCTAATATCAGTTCTCAAAGCGGCTGGTGTCCCACCGCTTCTCATGCGTCCAGATAATCAGGAAGTCATTTCAATTCATGAAAGTGCGTCATTGTTATGGGCTTGCGCTTGTGTCCCTTACTTCCGAGGACGACACAAACCTTCAACGACTCAGACACAGAAGTTGATAAGCGAAGCGGGGCGAGCCAACTCTTGGCTCACGCTTCATTGAATGTTCCGTACGTTCATCCCGCCCGGAAAGCAGCGCTGAGCCTGATTATTGCGGGTTTGTTCTATCGTACCCTTAGCAGCAGGGACCATCCACAATTGGTAGATTGGATGTTATTCTTGGAATCTTCGTCTCATCACCGCTCACGCTTGGGGTGATGATATTGCGCAGGGAATCGACGCCACTGGGATTGATTTATTTAGACCGTGATTCATCTAGCACGATAAACGGCTGTTCAATGGTGGTTCCACTGGGGAGGCGGCCGTGTCTCCTTCGGTCCGCATCCAACAGGGGCCTCCAGGGCCTCCACCCACCTGCTCCTCCTGCTCCCTGCTCCCAGGGCAGGAAGTAAATGAGTGGATCTCGATCGCACTTGGCATAAGCGTAATTGCCATTATGTCATGCTTTCCTTTTTTACTGCCTCGGCACGTGATGAAATAGACTCCTTAAACAAACCCCTGGAATATACCTACGGTCCTCGATTCGCTGTGATATATATGAAAAACTCCGCTACGCGCCAGGAGGTAAGGTGTCTGGAGCACGGGACCTATACTGTGTACGACAAGTCCTACATTAATCTAGGTTAGGAGCGTAAGGTTCTACCAGCATTTTGCTGAACTCTTGTAGCTTCTCCGGGCCACGCACTTCCTCCGTCAAGAGTGGGAGCTTGATGATATGGAAGAACTCGTCGTATAGTTCATGTGCTTCATTCAAATATTTTTGCTGCATGTTGTGACGTACGCGACAGTGTTCGCAGTTAGAAGCTATGAAAGGAAGAAACGGTGAGATGATTTGTTCGTAGGTTTAAATGAAGTTGTCACAGACATTTCTTTGGGAAAAGCAACTGGTTCACCACGATGTTGTGGGTATCGATCTCGTATGCTGTGAGTTCCTGGACCAGCCGTTCGGTCTCATAGAGCGACAGGAATTCGGAGATGCAAACGCAAATGAAAGTGGTTTTTTCCTGTGAAGATTGAGATTCAGTATGTCCAGACGTTTGTTACACGGACGCGTGCTTACGGGATCTTTGAACTGGGCATTGACTTCGCTAATAACAGATCTCATCGACTCGAGCTTAGCGAACATGTCTTCTTGTGACGTTTGCTCGCCTCCCATCATGCTCGACATCTACATGACGATAAATGCGCAGTCACACGGAGATTGCAAGAGAAGAGCACCGTACCTGGCTAATCATGGGGCCGAACCTCGACCCAAGGGTGCTGAGCTTCCCCAATGCCTTCTCCAGCACGGTCGGGAAGGAGAGGAAGCGCAAAGTGTGGCCCGTTGGAGCCGTATCGAAGACTATCACAGAATATTCCATGGATTTGACATACCTGGACGTTCAATGAGGACGGAATGAATGACGAGCAGTATCAACGAGGCTCACTTCATGATCTCCGCGAAGCTCATCGCTTCGTCAACACCAGGTATGGCGAACGCAAGATCTTGCATCATGGTGCCCATCATCCCATTCGAGTCGGCTGTTCGCGAAGGGTTTATGAATAACAGGCAGCAAACGGTCAGAACCAAGGATATGATACGCACATTGGTCGACCATCTCCTGGATAGCGCTTGTTGGGTCGATCTCCATCGCGAAGAGGTTGTCGAACCCGTTCACTTTCGTGGCATCTTTAGAGAATTTTTGGCCAAATGCATCGGACAAATTGTGTGCTGGGTCGGTAGACTACATGGCCATGTTTCTGGTACATGATCAGTGCATCGTGGACGCCATGAATAGCACGCACGATCAAGAGAACAGACTTGCGGCACTTGGCCAGTTGTATCGCAAGCGAGCAGGATGTGGTCGTCTTTCCTGAAATAAAAAACAGACTTAAGCAGCCTGACGATTTCCTCGTAGGAATGATGTCTTACCGACACCTCCCTTGCCACCTGCGGCGTAGTGTGAGCGACGTGACGCGTATATATGATGAATGAGGCGCACCGCAGAATATCCACTTCAGTGAATTCTGATCCAAGATGTTCTGGAGGGTAGGCGGTAGGTCTGAGGCCATTATTGTCGTGTCGTGTCGTATGTAGTAAGGGGAACGTGGACGAAGCTGAAATGATTGAGGGACCTTCAGCGAGCTTCAGCGCTTAGCGCTTAGCCGCCATGAACTCTCCTTGATCTCATTGACTCTCGAGTTCTGAAACTCTGCTCCAAGTCTCGCTTTGAAATTTGAATTTGAGCGTTCTACGATGTCGGACTCAGAATCTTCCAAGGCTTTGACCATCCCTGCCGTGGCGAAGCATACTGCGACGATCATATTTATTCATGTGAGCGCACCCTCTTTACCCTTGCAAGAACCCTCCGAACCTCGTCAAGGGCCTTGGTGACACTGGCTTTGGTTGGGAAGGAGTTGCCGACAATGCAAACACGGATCCAGCTCTTCAGCACATAAAATGGATTCTACCACATGCGTAAGTGCGATGTTGCCCTTCACCGTAGGGACGTTCTTGTCAAATCAAACACCTAGTCCACCAAGACCTGTCACGGCGAACAACGGCGCAGTCATGCCTAGTTGGTATGTACTATTGTTGGACTATTTGATGTGAGACGATCCGATAATCATCAGGTTCGATATCAAAGCCTTCCGGGCTGGATTTAGTCAGGATGAAGATGAGAAGGGGATGTTGGAGACCGTTGGATTGATTCAAAGTCTCATTCAGGCGGAAGTCGATGCTGGCCTCGATCCCAGTAGAATCGTCCTCGGCGGCTTCAGCCAAGGCGCGGCGATGACCTTGCTTACTGGGTTGACTACACCAACTAAACTAGCGGGCCTGGTCGTCCTGAGCGGTCGACTTCCGCTGAAGGATAAGATCAAATCAGTGAGTTCATGCTATTGAACGTGTCTCCCCTCAAGAGTTGACGCAGGGTAGATGGTATCTCCTCATGCGACGTCTGTGCCGATTTTCTGGGGTCATGGAGAGGCGGATCCGTTGGTTGCTTTCGAATGGGGCTCCGCGTCCAAAGATTTCCTCATTGCGGAAGTCGGGATCCCTCCAGCAGCGTCGAAAGAAGATCCTACAGGTCTCAACTTCAATAGCTATCCGCGTCTAGTGCATTCGGCGAGTACGGAGGAGATAAACGATGTCAAGGCTTGGCTCAGAAAGATTATGCCTGGTAATTGAAGCGTACCCAGAATGAAGCTTCGATGTGCCTTTCTCGAAGCTCGCGTTGGGCTTGTGGAATGTGAAGTTCTTGATCGCCTCTAAGCAAACCTGTTCACCAGCCTTCTTGGCCAAGCGGTAAGGCGTTGCACTTGTATAACACAAGATTATGCAAAGATCACTCGTTCGAATCGGGTAGGAGGCATTTCCAAAATCAACCTTTTTGCCATGACCCTTGGCTGCGCCACCACCAGCCCAAGCACCCTTCATTGCAAGTTTGGACTCCATCGTTAAATGTCGATGTTAATTAGCTTAACTGCACGTTGGGTTCGACGTGTAGACCAAGTTAGGTATGTGACTTGCGCATAGGTATCAATCTCCCAAATCATCATACCTCTTGAATGCGAGCTGACCGTGACATGACCGTTAGGACACCAGGGTACAATGTACATATGGCTCAGCACTTGCGTCCTGCAACACGAAGCCCCAGATTGCATTCATCATGATATATTTCAGGTAAGGCACATACTACAGATGCGGAGCCATGGATACACGCTGACAGTGCAAATTTGGGAACAAATGGCCATATGACCAGCACGGCAAGTTTTACATCATGATGTCGAGTGCTCGAAAACTCGGGAACAACACTCACCGCCGCTTTTGCTAGATTCTGTGTATACTACGATCAACTTCTTCGTTGACAGCGGGAGAGGCCTGGGAAGGAGTCATCCTTTCTTCGTACCTCAGCATGAATGATTCTCTTGAAACATCAAATTTCGAGCACTCAGCACGAGCACCCGGCTAGCACATCGAGGGTTGAGGCCTTGAAGATTGGAGAACCGCGCCCTTGAGTAGTTACCTGCAGCACGAGTCGACTCGAGAGCAGTAACGTTGCATTTAATTATCTCGAAAGTTCACAGAACTCCGCATTGGCAAAGAGTTCGAACGACTCTTCCCATGTCAGCAATAAAGTAATCCCTGTGGCCAAGTATACGTCAACTTCCTCGGTCCGACGTCAATCAGGATGTGGTGTTCAAAAATGTTGCCTCCGCTGGCCCACAATGCTGGGTAGGCTGGTGGAAATCGTGAACGCCTTGCTGCCCTCCCGTACGCCTTCTTTCTGCCCATATTATTAACATGTTGGTACCTCATCTCGACACCGAATCATCATCGCCTTTGATGATCCCATGGACAATCTTACCACAGAAGGAGATTCTAGTACACGCTCATACGAGGATGAGAAATGCACACTCTTTTCATCCCACTCTATCATTCAAGCGTCAAGCCGTTCAATGATTCAATTCCATCCTCGGGATCCCCATCAACACCCCCACTCCACGATAATAATTAGCATCCATCACTGATTATACCCTCATTATCGACGCCGCTGCGTCAACTGTACGGGCCATCATGTCTGTCTCAGACTCTTAAATACGGTGAGTCGCACTCTCGGTCAGTAACGCAGATGTCTCAACTCCCAGACTTCGCCTTAGCCTTTGATGACCGACAGCCACTCTTCATCTTGCGAAAAGTATGCTATCTTCGCGCCCGTCAGGTGTAAGCTGACCCTATTGTTGTATAGTCATCTCTGATTGGACTTTGGGTGTGTATAATCCTGTCTTGAATGATGCCACTGCTAACCTAACTTCAAAACAGCTCGCTACGCTTTTATATGGTAAGCATGTAGGTATACCTCGAGAACACTAATCACGAGTGCATCTTAGGCATCTACGTAATTCTATTCGGGATATCCGTCTACATTTTCTGGACGGCTGGCAAAGCGCGAAACCCCCTGCTGCAGCTCTCCGCCGTGTTTATGTTTAGTTTGTCGACGGCGCATATGATCTTGGACATCGTCACTACCTTGGGGATGAACCTTGAAACCGGAACGTACCTCCGCCCCACGGCTATCGCGGCCGTGTACCTGCATTTGACGAACAGGTGGGCCCCGTTAGCTCAAGTGTCTCCTCGCGCGTCGAGCTCACGTATCGGACAGCGCCATTGCGGATAGCGTGATCGTCCGTGTCCCCTCGCAGGCCTTGCATTCACAGCTGACCTAGATCGACAGATATACAGGTGCTACATCGTTTGGGGATTCAATAAATATTTCATTTTGCCTATTATCTTGGTTATCACTACGACTGGTAAAGAACTTTCATATTTAAATATTGAACCCGCTGACTATGTTCAGTATACGGATATACCATGGGCCTTAGTGTGGGGACAATATCAATCTCTCTCGCCACGAACATTATTGTCACGGGGCTCACAGGTGAGCGACGTACGCTGATTCCGTAGAGTGTCAGCTTAGCCGCGTCGCAGCTGGACGCCTCTGGTGGGGCGGGCGGAAAACAGCTGCCATCCTTGGCCCACACCATATCGACAAATACGCCAGAGCCACATCAATCGTGTAATTGAATCGCCACGCCTTACCATTGAAGATACTGACAATAACTATTCTGCGTCACTAGGCTCGAGTCTGGTGCGATCTATTCATTGTCGCTGTTGGTATTCTTGATTCTGTCGAGAATAGAGCTGGGGACAAGGCGGAGCGTCCCTGCGAATTCCTATGCTTGCGAACTACCCCACAGTGTACGTCCCTCCGCCTAGGAAGCCTGCACGTCCATGCTCACCGCCCGGCAGTACGTCGTCTATCTCGCAGTGTCGCAGCTTGTGGTACGCGTTGTCTTTAATGGATATCCTTGATAGACTGCTCACGCCCACACTCTAGGGGATTATTCCGACGCTGATTATTGTTCGCGTTGGCCTCAATCTTCGACCGGACCATGAGACGATGTCGGGCCTTCATTTTCATTCGAGGGCTATGTCACCCGGCAGACCGCTGAATATTGCCCTCACGACCGAAGTGACTAGTGATCGAGTGTCGGAGGTGGAAGGGGAGAAAGTTCAGTCTGAAAGTGCACCGTAATTGGCTGCAGTAGGCTCAAACTTGAATTTATCTGATTATGTGCTTCTCCATGCCTATCCATCATCATTGAATAATAAGGAGCCCATTCACTGCTATTTCTGATCGTTCTTTCTTGTTATAGTGGCCCTGCGCGCCGCGTCGGTCACTATGCCAGTGTGAGAACAACTGCTTCACGTGGCACACTTCCAAGAACGTTGACGCCGAAGTTGCCTTTGAATTCCTCCCGAACCTGCAACGCAGCAATCAGACAGGTCCTTTGCGGAGGGTTTCACGGAATTGTCATCGCCGTCTTAAGCAACCTCTCCCCCCGCTTGATTGCATCTCGCCATGCTCGGATGTGTCAATGGCGAAATGTGATTCCGTGGGAGCACCTGGGGAGCACATGGATTCCCACTCTCTTGAAACTGATCACAAGGACTCGGGCCTAATGTGATAAGGCTTGGAGTGCTGGTATGAAGCCTCCGTTCCCTTTCGAATCCCTGCGCATTCCATGATCATGGCCTTCCTTCTTGCAGTTCTAGGATTGGCCACGATCGCCGCCGCCTCGCCTCTCAATGTGACGGTGGACGACACGTTTGGGGCCTATCCTCGCGTCGGGGCTAATATCACGTATAGCGATGGATGGTTTTCGGAGGGCTTCAGCAATTGCCCGCAATGCCGCCCGCCATTTAGGCAGGCAATGAATGGTGTGTCTTTCTGCATTTGCATTTTTGCGATCGCACACTTATGCTGTTGTTCAGCGTCGTGGACGGTATCCTCTTATTTCCGCGAACAGCAAGGTGACCAGCCGAAAACTGCAAGTTTGAAATTTAACGGTGCGCCCACTTCTGGCTACATCTCGTTCATTTTACTGACCTGACATACTTGCCAGGTACTGCGGTGTATGTGAATTGCATAGTGGGACCTAGTACTGTCACTGGCGTGATGTGAGTCCGTCTTCCCAAGTGGATCAAAGTCCTCATCATTGTTATCAGAGGCAATGTCGACATTACATTCTCAGTCGATGGCGTAGTTGGCCTCAATTATGCGGAACCTGCACCTCAGCAATACATCTACCGCACCAATGTTTTCGCGAAGACAGACCTTTCCCCAGGAGAACACACGTTGGTCGTCCAAAATGGCCGAGGAAATGGGGAATACGACCAGGTCATGATGTTTCTTGATTCCATCATATATACGTACGTCATGTTCCCACCTGGTCTGACTCGCTGTTTCATGGTTTGTGTTTCATATAGGACCGACGATTCGGTGTTATCGCAGAGTCCCTCTGGTTCCCCGTCGTCGTCTGATCCATCGAGTCAACCGCAGGCTGCGGCAACCTCAAGCGGTGTAGCGCAGCATGTGGTCATTGTCGCTACTATCTGTGCTGCGTTGGGCGGCTTTGTCCTTGGAGGCCTTGCGCTTCACTTTTTCAAAAGGGTTCGACGTTCACGAGCTTCCGTAACCTCCCCAAGACCTTTTGAAGCGTTCAAACCAAGCCCTTGGCAAGACATGCCGTCGCCAACCCCCGCTTCGATATCCACTACCCCCGTTGTTACGGCCTGCTCAGCAGGTACAACCAGCCCGCCATCGTCTTCAGCGCCACCGAGGAGTGCAAACACTGACGTTGAACAAGTTGCGAGGCAGACAAGTTCGCGCAGGAGCTCGACAGATTTCTCGGGTCAGAGTGTCCTGATTGTTGGGCCCGCACCCCCAGCGTATTCTAATTAAGACTGGATTTTTGGTTTATCTTTATCCACTTATTTATCTCATCCGTATTACCGTCGATGTTTATTCAATTTCATTGTTGCACTTACTACCTATCTTCCTCTTAGTTGCCAGACAAGAGGCGTTAGACGTGCTGCCTGTTTTACTGCCAAAGGTTCCCCTCTATGGAACTAGTGTCTGCGATTACTGCAAGCGCTTATTCGATGTTGTCAACTTCGTAGTGATCATGATTCGCCTTCACTTGTGTGATATCCAAAAGACCTACTCTGGGTCCGAGTAGGATGTAGCCTCAATTCATCGCTAGGATGAAACCAGCTTCATCCTTCTGCATTACCATCATCAAATATTTACATTTTGTTGGTCCTGCGTTCCTGGCGCGCCCGCCGAAGACCTCCCAACTTCCGCACTCCTTTCGTTGGAACTTGGTAGCCCTTTACAATCCAAACTATGGCTGGCTACTTCGAGAAATTTGAGTCGGGCGGTAACGGCAACATCAACCTTCTAGGGCTATCGAGTTAGAGAGGCTGGTTTACCGTTTACGAGCCTACGAACGACTCGGGTGGCAGTGA